ACAGTCTGCTTGAGGCCAAGGCAGTTCATCCAAACCCAATGCTTTGCTTGGAGCTTCTAAGTCTTTTCATACAACTCAGGTTCTGCAATTCTCTTGGTTTCTTCTATCAACATGCAACAACTCCACGTTGTCATCTGTTTGGCTGATGCTAGTTTAGACCTGTTCCTGCCACAAGAGTTTCTTGTTCCTTGCTGACTTGTGGCATCTTGCCAAAACTTTCTGTACATGCTAGAATGCAATCTTTCAGTTTCAGGTGCTTCCGTTTGCTGTTTTGAGATGTTTTGGGTATATAGAGCAGCTGGCTCGGGCCGGACAATGTACATGCAATGCAGTGATCCTCAATTCATGCAGTGACAGGCAATGAGTCTGTCTGATGAACATGACAAACATATGACTTTGCAGCTGTGCTGAAATTGAACCCTTGATTTTTTGTTAGGGCTGACTTTTCTCAAACCTTCTCTGCAGCCGTTGCAGGATTTCGCGATTGAGCCAGAAGTTTTGGATGACTTGTTGAGATTTATGAATAGTGAATGTATCTGAACTATCCCTGTGAGATTCCATAAACACAAGGACCTGGGACAAGGTGTGGATGCCCTGCTCTTCCAGCGCGGCTTGGTATCTGATAGGCTCCACCCTGCTGCTGATAGCTGTAGGCATATACTCTTCAGCACGTATGGGTACACCGTGGAATATGTGGGCGCTACCCCTGAAACCTTCTGACAACCATGAACGAAGCCGGCTGGGGAATGCTTCAATGTTGGGTGTTTTTGATACAAACAGGAACTGTGCTTCTGATTCCAAGTGCTCACAAGCAAAGCGGATAACTTTGGAAAGGATGTCTTCGCCATAGTTGCCCCCATTGCCGAATAAAATGCTGGCTCCAGTGGCAATGTTTTGCGGATTTGGCATAAAAGGTGGATTTGCCAAAATGACATCAAAGCGACCGAGCAACGAGGAGACACCCCCTTGCATTTCACGAACATCTTTCTCAAGGAGGCATTCGCATTTTGAACGCAAGCCATTAAGAGATAGATTGAAGGAAGTAAGGCTGAGGCATCGCGGATTGATATCAACAAAGACAGCAAACGCAGCATAACTGTTCAATGCTGCAAGACCCTGTATGCCGCAGCCACAACATAGATCAAGCACTCGGTGAACAGGCCTTTGAGGTGCAGCGGCCAGCAGAGCCAAGGAGTCTTGCGACAAATACATAGCTGGTTCAGTGGCATCTGAAAAGCAAGTTGTTTCAAAGTCTGTTGCGACTATGAGATTTCTTACTGGCCAAAGAGCTACGCTGGCAAAAACCGTCGGCTCTTTCCCTCGTTTTTTCTGCGTAGGCCATCCTGCGCAATATGTGATGATCAAGCAACACATCATACACATTCTGGCCCAAGGCTTCGCAAACTTTGTGCAAAGGAACTGTCTTATGAAGCAAAAATAGTAGGACAAGATCGACCAGCATGAATCTCCAAGCCAAATCGGATGGATCATTGGCTTGAGAACACCATAAACTTAAATGTTCTTCTACCTGCTGATTCGTTGCACCGATCGATAGAGATGACAATGTGGAGACCCCAGTTGCTCCAAGCACGTTGGCCTCTGTATAATTGAGTGCTTGAAGGCGCAGCAGGACTTCCCTCAATTTGGGGGATTCATCTGCAGAGTTGAAGTTGAAAGCCCGTGCTGCGAGGAGTTTACTTGTGTGCTCAAACAGTTTAATATCGAAGATGTCCAGCAAATCCGGCATCGCGGAACACATTTGCCACGCTTCAGTCAATGATGCATGGGCACTCTCGATGTCAAACAAACGGAGGCGATGGACCGAGACTTTGCGCAGAAGGGACACAAATCGTGCAGCTCGTGGGTCTTGCGACTCCATTGAGTTTTCTTTGCGCAACTCCCAAGACAGCCGTGACAGCTCGCATTCGACCACAGCCCGGGTTACCTGGCCGTGGGTTTCGGTAATGGCATCAAGTGTTTGGTACTTTCGCACAAAAGCAGTTGCACTTGGGTCACCCCACGGACAACGTTTGAGAAGCTCCAAAATAGCACTCTCCTTAGACTGAAGTTGCTGGATGTCAGCCTTGCTCGCATCAACTCTCAAGTCCTTCCAGTCCTTGCTGAGTTGCCCAAGGCTCTCCGTGCACTTTTCGAGCAACTCAATCCAAAGCGCTTCAGAGGAGGCTTTGGATCGAGCTGCCCTGGCAACAGCTGCCACAATGGCACTCCTTCCGAGTTGACCACAAAAGCTGCCTTTCCATTTTGTATTATCGTCTTCGTGCACCAATTGATTGTACTTTCTTCTCACAGGCAAGGCAAAGCTCGGCTGCGTGTGAGTCAATGCGACCAAGGCCATTGGTGACTCATGGCAACTCTTGGAAGCCTTTCTACTTTGCCACGAGATTGCAACCCGTGCTAAAACAGTAGCACTGAAACGAGCTGCATGAGTGTGCATGATAGCTTAACTTGATTGTGCAATCTTGTTACCAGCTGCAGAACTAGTCGCTGTCCACTTGCACTCATGTTGTATTGAGATGTATTGTGACAGTATGCGACGCTGTTGAAATTAATTTGTTCATTCCAAGCCTGGGCTGAGGCGCAGCGCACGAATTCAATCACTTGATACCATTTAAACTTAATTTGATCTTGAATCTTAGGTAGGTTTGCGGACTGCCTCATGACTCTTTAAGCACAGGTCCCGGATATCCAACCAAATAGTCTACGCCGACGCAATCCATGTAAACTTGTAGATACCGCTCTCTACAAGCCCGACAACCAAAGTGCGGCAAAGCAAGTGTTTGGACAATGCCTATAACACTGTACCTTGGGGGCTCATTTACATGCAATGATTGGATGAATTTTATACAGTTACAGTATTTCTATGGGGGCTGCCAGTATGCCTATGGCTAGCTGCACCACTCCTTTCTGACATAGCTTCAGCCCAAGCCCCCTATCTCTCTTGGTTGTAAACAGCTGTAGCAAAATGCCACACACTTTCCAACTAGGACTAGGATGTTCTTGCCAAGAAAAAACAACATGATTCGTGTGGGTGAACGTGCTGAACCATTGATTTGTCTGAAGACCTTGTACATGTTGGAGGACTGACACAGGTGCAACAACACCACACGTATCATCACGTATCAACAAATTTTGTTTGTAGCTCATGTATTGACCTCCACTAAAGGTAGCCAGGGAAGAGATGTGCTTCAATTAAACATATATAAATACAACACCCTGTTGTTTGATGTTGTTTGCGGAAGATGTGCCACAACCGTGGTCAAGAACATGTCCTTCTGTCACGCATGATTGTAGCAGCAGCATTTATTTATTTGATTGAACTGGTATGGGGCCAAATGATCGTTACAACGTCAACCCAGGAAAACCAGTTCTCATAGCTTCCTCACTTGAACAAGAAAGCTTATTCGAGCCAACAGGGCTATTTGGGCAGCATGCAGAATTATGTCAGCTATATACTCAAGGCAGTCAAGGGATCAGTCAGGGGAGATTCTTGCTGTTCAGGATTGTGTAGAGCCGGTGGGATTTGATTCGATTGAGCACCAAAAACACAATCCTTTTGATGCACAGTATTCAGCAAACATCATCGATCTGGCTGTCCTGCTCCTGTGCTGCTAGAAGCAGCTTCTACTCGAGGCCTTTTCTGTGGTGGCTCCTGTTCAGATTCGTCAGATTCCCCGCCTGCCTCATTTTCAGCGCTTTCGCCTTCGGTCTCTTCGTCGTTGCTCAAGGCCTCTTCTTCACCTTGCTCTCCAATGCTGTCGTCGCGCAAGCGGCGCCACTCTTGAACTGTTATTTCTGCAAGGCCTGTACTGCCACTCGTTTCTCGTGTTCCTTTGGCACTCTCTGCGATGGCTTTGATCGCTGTTGAAGGTGGCGTGGACAACAATTCTTTTGGCTGCACAAGTATTGGCACAAGGACTTCTGTGTCAGCTAAAGTAGATGGATCAAGCAACTCTTCAATGGAAGATTTGTCGATGCACCCAGCTGTTGCTTGCCGTTGAAGAGTTTCCAACTGGATTTTTGAAACATACATCAGCGTTTCTTCTGAAGCTGATTCGCTTTCATTGTCCCAACTGATAACACTGGGAATTGGGTGGTCAAGATTTCTACACATAAATTCAACTACAACATTTAGAAGATCAGGACATGGCTCATGCTTGAGTCCAGGATACTTATGAAACTGAACTGGCAAATTTGCATCTCGCAACATCTCGGCAGCAGCTTCAGCACAACCAATGTCGACCATGTCGTCAGATTCGCCATGGCAAAGCAAAAAAGGAGTCTTTGTCACGCCCTGACATTGATCTGTTAGCTTGCAGCTTGCCAGCAAGTCTCTTGCTGGAGGCCTTGCCCAACCTGACAGAACTATGCAACCGGCCAAAGCATGTGGATGTCGCAGCGCGCACTCCAAGGCAACAGCTGCGCCCTGGGAAAAGCCTCCGATTAGCAAACGATTTGCAGGCACACTTTCTTGCAATTTCTGCAGTTCTGAAAGCACTGCTTCTACGGAAGACGCATATGCACCAACAATATCTTCATCTGCATAGTCAACGGAACCTACTCGAATGCGCTCTTGGGTTTTGAACTGTCCCCAGGCTCTCAATTTGCGATTTGCAAAGCACGGCTGCGGCAGCAAAGGGGCACACAAATGGATCCATCGCCAGTCTGCATCAATTGAGGTCCTGAAGGGCTGCAAAGCGGTTGCCCATCCCCCTGGAGAATCCCCAAAGCCGTGAAGCCAAAGGACTACAGGAGAAGCATCCGGAGAGCCGCTTTGGCTTTGGCCGCTCCCCCCCAAGGATAAGCGGCTTTCCTAGCTCAGCTTTTGAGCCCATGGCTTCAAGCAGAAGCAATGCCAAGTGACCCAGGTGGCCAGAAGCACCAAGATAAATCAGAAAGCTAGGCGGAAACAGTCGCAATTTAAGAGACAAGTCTGCTTATTCTTCAATGGCCGAATGCCAATTCGAACTCGTGCGTATCTTCTCTCCGCTCTGACGCCCTGAGGTGAGTCCGATGTCCATCGAAGCTCCAGGTTTGTGCTTGCACAAACTGGGAGGAGTCCCACTGTTGCCATCTCATCTCTCATTCCTTGCAGGCGATGTCAGTCGTTGACGGCGTCTGTTCAGCTATGTTCAGCTTCATGCTCATCAGGATGTTCAGCATCTCACACCTCTTCTAGCGACCACCTGACATTTGAATGCATTTGATGCATTGCTTTGCCATTGTGCAAGCTATATAATAAAATGAGATTTGAAATTGTTCACCACAACAATGTCTGTGGCAGAAATCCTACATCGAGCTGTATTTGAACTACTGTAGCGAAAGTCCTGTTCCTCCTAGCTCGCAATGAAAGTACACTTGTCTGCCTACAAATCTCAGATGATCTCAGCCCATAGCGTGACATTGAAGTTCCTTTGGAATATAGCTTCAATGACGACTTGATGAGTGCCCCTGCAACACTCTTCAAGAAGACTGTACTGAGTCACCGCGCACAAACCGTATCTCATATCTCCTATCCAAGCCTGATAAGTTTTGCCTGGATTCAGCTGAGCAGCACTTCAATATCACGCACTACAAACTCTTCAGTTGCAGCCAGGATGGAGTTCCTTGCCACACGTGATGCAGGACAAATAATACAAAAAAAAACAGTACTTCCAAAAACTCAAACAGGCGCGCTAAGGTAAAGATTTATAGTAAATCAAACAAAACCGCTGCTACCATCACATCAAGGACCAAGCTTGAATGTCGGAGTTGGAGATGAATGTCCCTGCCTTTGCACGGTCTGCAAGCTAGCTGCATTTCTCGAGCAATGGTTAGTCGAAAAAAACACTAGTCACTAAACACTGCACAGGTCAACTTCAGCAGCACTACAGTCTAGAGCACTTGCTAGCCTTCGAGCAGTTGTTGGAACCAACACTTTCTTGAGGGCAAGGGAAAAACCATGTATGGATTCTATGGATGGTTATTCTATGTTATTCTTACAGAAGAACGTCCATGGACAATATGGCCAGAGCCATGACCAAGCGAGAGCAAAACAAACACTGCTAGGAACAGCACTGGCACACTGGCCACGCTGTTTCATTTTCATCCTTCTTCATCCTTCGGTTCATAGCGTAACCTTTTGTGACTTGCGGAACCAAATCCTGCTGATGCATCATGCCATGGTTGGCCGTGAGAAGAGGAGGGGTTAAGACCAGGAAACTTAATAGCGCAGGAAACTACACTCCATACTAGTATGATTCAATTTCTCGCACTATCAGAAAGTTCAGAAGCGCAAAGCTGCAAAGCAAAACGCCCATTGGTTACATACTGTACCCGACGCAGGGTTTGCGCCAAGCAGACAGCGGAGGGCCAACACAGTATTCAAAAAAAAGTGGAGCCAGTGACACGGGCACAGTACCCGCGCTGTAATGCGGCGGGTATGGCCACAGGAATGGCAAATAACGCCTAGAACTCTAAATTTCAAACACTTTGCACTGCTACTGCCCAAATCGCTGGTATGTTCAATGTTTTTGACATCCGAGCGCTGTTCTGAGCACTGTCGGAGCACTGTGTACTTCCCCCGCAACATCCCTTTTCACGTGACAGCAAAGTATAGTAAACACCAACAAAGGATAGCAAAAACAAACGGAGCAGCAAACAAGTGGCATCAGCCAGCAAGTAGGCGCAAAAAGCTACAGTAACACAACAAGCTGGGTAGAGCAAAGTAATGAAGCCAAACTGTTGATGGGCAAAATCCTGCACCACATTGCGCACAGTTTTCTTACTGCCCTCGTTCTCCCGCGCTGACATTGGGGCCACCACAGTGAGAACATTAAAACAAGTTGAAGGTACAAAATCCTGCACCACCTCCTCAGAGGGGTCGCGCCAACATTGGGGCCACGCGGGGGTTGCTATGCGACCCTTCCAGGGTAAAGTGGTGAGGTGGTGCAGGATTTTGTCCATCAACAGTATCGCAGGCTTGGCCTGTTTGCCTGACAAGCTGTTCTGCTTGGCTACTTGAGGTTGTCTAAGTGAACTGGGCACAATCTTCTGCTGCATGTGGCGGAAATTCTCAGTGCTTGATTGGAACTCTGTTGCATCCCGATCTGACATGAATTATACTGATACAAAAGTCCTTTCACTTTAACTGGTTCCTACGTTCTCCTTTAAAAAATGCAGCTCTGGTGCGGAACATTCAGCAACATGTCACATCACCGACATCATTTTAACCGCAGCAAGTTCACAGCCTTGACTGTCTGGCATGCTTAGGTCTCGGCAGCAAATCAGCCTGCACAACAAAGGCATGCCGTCCTCATCTCAGCTGATTGTTCAGTCAAGGTCCAAAGCTCACGCGTGAAAACTTATCTCCTTCTCCGCCACCCATTCCAAACAAACTATGGTCTGCATACATGCAGCACCTGAGTCCACTGCAGTGCACACCAAGGGTTGCTGGCTTCTCTCAGAAAAACTCACAAGAGAACAATCTAGGATTCGCTCTCGTTGACAGAAGACCATGGAAAGAATTGAACGAGAGCAACCTGCATGAAAAAGACCCTGGGCATTTTTCTCAAAGGTATTCAGAAGCTGCTTGAGTCAAAGGCAATGCGTATGTCAAAGTGCCTCCGAAGTTGAAGCCTTGCCGAAGGAGAAAACAAAGGCCTCGAATGGGACGTGTCCAGGCACAAAATATGTCGAGCCACCAAGTTGGCAATGCGAAGCATTCCAAATCTTGGCAAACACAAGCATGGTGTAAAGGCTTTTGGCCACATGCCTCACCAGAGCCATAGAACCTGTATTGGAGTTCTGGCATCATGCGAATATAATAGCACATTGATGTGTGTCTACAATATCATGGTGGAACTTTGACGGCTCCAAACCTGCTGCCAAGCTGAGAACTGGTTTTAATGGTTGCAGTATTGACATCTCAGTGCCTTCCACAAGGCTCCCAAGCTGAAGTTGCAAAACCACCAAAAATGTAGTCCTCGCTCAACTGGGACTCATGAGGCGTTGTTTTGCATTTACAACAAAGCAATCAAAACACCCCGGTTACCTCGGTGTCTTGAATGATGATGATGGTCTTTTTTCGCCTCTATCACAAACACCCCAGCAAAGCAATCTGCAATGGCAATATCTTGGCAAACTGCAATCTGAGTGTCTGAGTTTCTGACTCAGCGAGGTTTCGAAACATAGTGGCTAAAGAAACTCCGTGTGCCTTTTGCAGCATGACACAACTGACTCAAATACCTCAAAGTATAATTTGTGTCATTTCAAATTTCAGTCCAGGACTCATTCTTGGCTTGCCACAAATTTTTCCAACTTTCCCCGCACCTTGGGTGTGTATCTGAGCACCCACTGAACAAGGCCAGGGAGTCGGAGTCCAACAGGAAGATAGTCCAACAATGCCTCCTCACCGACGGACAATCGTTGTCGTTGACATTATGACACATTAGTTGAACAGACAACTCCAGACATGGCAACAAAGGAGACGCTCTGTTCTGCTCTCTTCGCATCAGTGCGGCTCCGCGAGGTCTTTGTTCAACACCGACCGTTGGCAGTTTTCTGGTAGTTGAAAAACCACCTGAGGCTATGTTTCAACTGAAATTTGCTTTGCACTATTTGCTTTGCACTACTTCTACAAAGGAAATCCAACGATACTGAGCGGGCCTTGTCAACGTGGCAGCCTTACAAGGGGCATCAAGGGGCACATATTGTTGCCGAATGCTTCCAGTTTTCATCGGTTCATTGCTTTTATACATCATGGTTCCTATTCCTGTGCCCGATGGACTCTTACTGCTCTGAGCAAGTCTGCGGCCTGCTTCCTCCACAACTTCGCTGGGTTTCGCTGGAGAAGGTCCTTGTGCATCAGCGGCTTTGGAGTCGCGCGGCCTAGCACACCGAATGTCTCATTCTTTCTCCAACCTAATAGCGATGGCCTCCAACCCAAATGAAGATACGACCCCTGAGAACTGTGACATGAAGCGCACCCTGATAGGAAGTTTGCAAAGCTTCCCATCAAACGAGCTGCAGAAGAAGAAGACGATCGGTCCTGTTGGCTCCAGGTATCTCGCACCACAGTGCTTGCATACAACTAACTTGAATGTATGAAATACTGTATGTGAAATAGAGTGCGCACAATATGCAACTAAGGTGCTCTATGAGTGCGTGTAGGATAATTCAAGCTGCGTACCCCAAATGGACACGGTTGCCAGTTGGAGGGTGGATTCACAGTTGCTGTTTCATCCGAACAAATAGTGTCTGCTTACTTCTTGATTCAATTGTCCCAGCGCCACTGTTCATGACACCTAAACACCTGCACCACTTGGAATGTCTGCTTCCAGTCCACTTCTACAAACGTCCTGTACCATCTGTCCGAATTGTTGCTTACCCTTGAAGTTTCAGCTTTCTCTTAGCTGCTACGCCGCTACGCGTTGTTGAGGTGTGCACGCATACTTTCTAGATCATAAGTTGTAAAATGTTGTAAAGGCTATAATTTGAGCACTGATGAGCACTGCACTATCAGAAAGAGACCCCAGCGCTGCATGTTTGAAGCGTCCTTCTTCTTGTCCAGTTGTTGCTGGAGCTGGTGGTGGTGGACCGCATGCTGCAGGGACAGCACGATTCAACCCCAAGAACCCACAAGGCAATGCGACGCCTCGAGCTCTGCCATGCAATCCAAACCTCGAATGATGGCATTGGAATGCAAATAGAATCGAATTTACCTAATAGCTCTGTTTGTGCATTTCACCCATTCAGAGCCAGACACGGAAACGGCACGGATGTCTGTGTCCAGCCTGCATGATGACCAGGATGGGCCTTTCGCCACAAAGTGTCAAGGAACACAGTGCATACAGAATGGGCAAACATGTTTAATCCCAACATGTTCTTTATAGCTTTAAGGAGCATCTGGCACATTGAATCATTGGAACTTGCCCGGCCTGCTTGGCCTCCAAGAGAAGTGCAGTTGCCTGACAGTTACTGCCAGTTGACTGAGAATACAAAACAATTCAACACAGATTGTATCAGGTGGTGGTGATGATTATACATTATAACAACGGTCATTATATTCCAGGCAGACATTTTGCCAAGTTGCATGACGCAGGTCCTCTTTGTCCAGCAAACGGAAGACAAGGAACCATGGGTCCTGCTGGTCCTGCCACTGGGATAGTAGCGTGCTGGATGGCACAGTGACAAGGACATTCTTATCGCATTGAATTGAACAGCAAAAGGTCCTCTGGAGTTCGGAATATCTGGCCATTTAGCGTCCTTCCGAGAAGACCATGCTTGATCAATTAGCATGGGGGACATGTGGTGGGATGCTTCCAACCTCTCCTGACCTCCATCTGAAGGAAATAGGCCAAGTCAGTGCCGTCCTGAGATCATCGTGTCATAGTATTCACCCGTAGGCATCAGGACGATGTGGTCCTCCTGCGGCATAGTGATGCCTCCACATTGCAAAAGATCCTGCACCTGTACAAACACGCGTCAAATGCATCACACGATGCACATCTCGTAAAACCGTTTCTCCTTCAGTACATTTCAGTACATGTTTCCCCAACAGCGAAGCTTAGGAGTCGCCATAGTAAAGACTTTGGAGCAGCTTGGAGCAGGCCGACTCCGAACAGGTGAACAAGTCCGGAGGTTCCGAAAGAAGCTTCGACGGTTCCGGAGCAGGTTCCAGATTCCAGAACTGTTGTGGTGGAGGTTCCGGAGGTTCTGGAGCAGGTTCTGATGGAAGTTCCGGAGCGATGTCCGGAGTACTTTGCAGATACGCTGGGTCTCTCCCTGACATACTGAGGTGTGGATACGCTGACATGATATTAGTGTTGTCGTGCTGATATGATATGCCGCCTGTGTGGCGTCATGCTGACATGTAGTCATACTGGCACGCTGACATGGGTGACGTTAGACATCATGCTGACATGTTGTCACGCTGTGATGCCGCAGTCGGGTCATGCTGTCGCGCTGACTTGCTGGCAAACTCCAGAGCGGGTTCCGGAGCAGGTTTGCTGGTTCTTGCTTGTAGTGGCGTTGTTGTGCTTGCGCACATGGGCACATGATTCACACGATATGTGCCATGCCAACGTATTGCCGTGTATGCTCGCGTGGCACATTGAACAGGTTCACACATCTGAAGACGGCATTGTCTGGCAAACAAACACAACACTTATTGGTGAACTTGTGGGTGCCATTGCAACATAGGCAGATTATGATGCCCAGCTGTTGGAGATTCTTCTTGGGCTTATCTATAATTTTTCCATATATTTCATTCCTTTCTCTCAAATTCTGGCAGTGCCTCCAATGTAACTGTGTAGAGTTCACCTCCAAACCTCACAGCCGGCATGTGTATATAAGACGTACATAATGCCACAGGCACCATGAGACAGGCTTAGAGTGATACTCCTGGACGTGCTTGTCATCAGGGTCTGGAACAAAGGTAACCAGCAGCGGAGACACCTTTGGCTTCGTCAAAGCATGCACTATGATATTATGAGACCTGCAAAAGCCGATCATATACCTCTTCTCAAACCTTCAAGATGTAAGTTGACACTCAGTTTCAGAGGTTCCCGACAAATAGCTTGCCGGGAACCTTGATGTGGGGAGTGCAATACAATGCTTGGAGCCTCTGCGAGTGCTGTGCATTGTAGGTTTGGAACCATCTTGCTTCCCATCACATTCAGGTGTTTGTAGCACGCCTGAGAGGTCCATCTTGCGGCTGTTGCGGTTCATGCCTGCTGTTTGGGTTCAATGATAGGCACAACAGCCAACAGCACAAATCGCAGCCTGCAATGACTTGCAAGCATGAATAACCATAACATTAAATGGATTGAAACAAAGCGCCTGCTGGATTTTGGAGAGAGAGATGAGGAGGTGGGCGTTCTCGAATGCTTTGATGATTGGCAACTCAAATGGTTCGCAATCTATTGCTCGTGCCTGGGTCGTCTTGGCCGGCTTTTTGCTCTCAAGATGTGCTGCATGTACCTTGGCACAAGACTCAGCCACTTTCTGTAACATTCTAAGATTCTAAGCACAAATTCAACCACTTTCAGCTCAGAGTTGTGGTTCTTAAAGAAAGAACACCTATCTGCGACTGGTCACAAGCACGAAGCTGACCGGCTTGCCACCAAGGGCGCATCTGGATAGCCTGGCAAGTGCTGCCAAGGTCGAGGGCTTTCTGAGAGGACACGTCGTGTTAAGATGTGCTCGGAACTGACTTCAAGGGAACTTAAGTTTATCTAAAGATCTAGCAACCAAATGAATAGTGCGAGCACTTCTTCAGGAAGCTCCCCCCCCGCCCTTAGGCGGGGGGAGCTTCCTTGAAGAAGCGTGAGCTATCCTGCGTCCTAGGTAGTAGCTACTTAAGTTACTAGCTACCTAGCTACCACCTCTTCTCGGCCTACCCCCCCGGCCCCCCGGGCAAAAAAAGACGCTCTTTGGATTGACACTTGATGGAAGTATGTCTCGATCTCTTGGGACACGTGATGCACCCTCAACATGTCAGGTACACATTGCGGGGCTCAACGTTACTGCGTAGCTTCCCTCTGCTTTGCTCTCCAAGATGGATAAATGCAGTGGCATAAGCTGAGTAATATAAGTGAGAATACTGTCTGGAAATTTGTTTGTCCACATAGTCCTCCGTTTGCCATTTCCCCCTCTTATTGTCACTTCCATTCCTACTCTGTGCCAGAAGACGCTTCGGTTGTTCTGCTTCCTCAATTGTATATACCTCAATTGTCAATTGTGCAACATGACATGACTCTCAAAGGCACTCCCGGACAGTCGATGCATTGGTTTTTCGATACCTTCCTCGGATCTTTGTGGCTGTACACAAACTGCAAATGCAGCTGAGAGTGAGACTCCCCTGCATTTATGCTGATGCAATTCTGTGCACATGCAAGCATCTTTTGCTTTTGCATGCACAAAAATACAAAACATGCAATGACATCGAGTCTTCCACCTCAAACTACCGCCTCGGTTCAGGGTGGAAACTGACTGATCCACCGGAAAGACATGCCAAGGCTCCGGCTGAAGCGCCAACAAGCCAGAGTCAAGCAAAATCTTGACCTACAAGGTCCACCACCCCCCGCGAGGCGCAAATCAAATTGGGTCCGCTGTGCCTTGTGGAAAAGGTTTGGACGTTGCTGACAAAGCTCCTTGGTCTGCAACAATATGATCTGATATGTGGTTGTATGAAGACCACAGTGACATTTGTGGTAGTGCAAATGTAAGTGCGGTCTTGCTGCTGTTCTATTCATATTTTGAAACTATTCCCTCATGATCCCTCATGTGCATCCTTTGCAAGTCTGTGCATTCGAACTTCCTGTGGTGGCTGGCGATCAGCAGGAAACCTATGCGAGCTTGCCTAGGTTTGCCTCTCCACACCGAGCTTCAACTCCCCATAGAATTCCCGCGGAGCTTCAACTTATTCTAGGGTGGAAACTCCGCAACTAGAACTCCCTTGTGAACCGGGAAAGCGTTGTCGTGGCTGTGTAGGGTTCACAAAGAAGTGCTCTCTCTCTCTCTCTCTCGTAAAGATCAACCCATGTCAAATCAATATTCCAACTCAACATCTGGGAGAAGTATGATCTATGTGTGTTCTTTCAGATTCTTTCCCATGTTGAACCGTCTTAAAGCAGACTTGTCCTTCACTCACCTTCTGAGGAACTGGCGTGCATCTCCAAAGGTTTGCCAGCATACAATTCAGCCAGCAATTCTTGGACCTCAGGATCCTCTGGCTTTCGTCTGCCACTAAGCAAACGCCAACATATGGTCGACTGCAATGACTGATTCTGCTGAAAAGAATGCGCCCTTGAGGCAGTCCTGAAAGGCAGCAGCCACCTTCGGATCATCGGTTGGCAATGCCTCCAAGCCCATATAACTTATAACTGTATCAATTCTACTGTTGCGGAAGGCTATAATTTTTGCATGCGACGATTCGTAACAGCCACAAAGTGAGACGTGTGTAATCAACTCTTTTGATCACTTCTTACTATTTCTCCACGATAGATCAACCTGCGTCTTAGCGTGAATCTCAGCAAATACTTTCACCCTTCCGGATAGGATCCTAACCTATGGCCGCCATATGGCCTTGGAGCTGGATCACCCAGGGCCACAACTCCACAAATGTAGGACCAAACAAGAAATGCAAATAGGATCAAATAGGCGTGGCACAACAGGGGCTGACTACCGGACACAGCAGCTATGGCTTCTGTGACTTGTTGCCCGCGAGGAGGATGGCGTCTCGGTGCTCACAATTATTCACAATCCATCACGACCCCTCGTGCACTGTGCTGTAGTCCTCAGCATTCCCAAGTTCCGTAATTATCGTCCTGTATGCGCACGAGGATGGGCCTGACTGTCTTACACTGTTTAACACGTTCTGGGTGTGTGGGCAAAAGGAAAGAGTGCAACAAATCCTAGCCGCTGGGTCCAATCCTTGCTGGGCACCCTGAACCTGAGGTGTTGGATGTGGTTGTCAAACACCAGCTTTTTCTTTCGGTCTGGTCACTGCAATTGCAAAATGCCTTTTATTTTCAACTACTGCAAATCGCTTTTCTTACTGTATACCCCTTTTCTGTTGGTATGTGAGTCACATTCCACAAAACGTGCCAAGACGGAGGACACTGCTTTGTCAAAAACAAGGGACGCGTCTGATAATGATACGCCGCCAATGCTTGTTTTGTTTGGTTGCTTTCTTGTTTGTGGATTGTTTGTTGGTATTTACAATAGACTTGTTTTAGAAGTGTCTTTGCCGGCGCGTTTTCCCAAGGAAGATGCTTGTGTCGAGCGTTTCGCTACAGCGAAGCGCTCATTTTTGTTAGTAGCTAAGTGTGAGAAAAAGGTTCGGAGAAATGTTTTTGAAGGTCTGATGATAAGTGATCTGCTGTCATCCAAAAGTTCAGCCGAGAGTTTTTTTGCATGATAATTGTTCTTACTGCTTCTTACTGTAATTCGCCACACTTTGCAACTCGCAAGTTTCTTTCACTTGAGAAACCAGCGGAAAAGTACTTTGCTTCGACTTGAAGGTCATTACCTGGATTGTCTATTTGTATTTATGCACAGTAGATTTGGATTTTGCATAGAAGCAAATGTATTTGAAAGAAGCACGTAGTATACAATACACAAAGGAAAGCACAATGAGGTACAATATGACTGACTGCATCCTTACATTGCTACAAGCACATCATTACCTACCCCCCCCCCCCCCCCCCACCCACCCACTCCACCCCCCCGACAACCGAACAACGATGTACATGACAGGCGCAAGTGCGGCGTATCATCGCGTATCAGCCGCGAGCCAAAAACAACAGTGCCTACAAGTGGCTCAAAGTGGTGAGTTGCCTAGTGGCCTAGTGGACCAAAACAGGTCACTGTAGCTTGTGTGTCACAAGGGCGAAGTCTTGTGCTCAATCTGCTTGATATCCTATCTCCGAACTCAACCAAGGAACAAGCAGTCAGGATCCATTGCCTTAATGCCTTCCTATTTTCTGTTTGCAAACTCATCCAAGGCAATATTTCTCCATCTTGGACGAGCAAATCAAACTGATCCAAAAAAGGATTTGGCAAAATATATCCTGGGGTGACGCCGCTAACCGCTTTTGCAGCGCCTGTGCAATCCACATGCATGAGTTATCCGCACTTGCTGTTTCGTGTTCACGTTCATGATTCATGCATTCAGCAAGTCGTCTTGTGCAAGGTATACTTTTGCACCGGTGATTTGGCACTTGTGTGCCTTTGGGGTGGTACTATATAGAGTAAAACACAGCATAGCTGGAGACTACAGTAATACTACTGCATGGAGGATGTGGGTTGTCTCCATCTACCCCAACGTGCTGGTTCTATTGGCATCAGTCCCTTCATTCAGGATCGGAAAGTCGGCTGCACTAGTTGCAGGGGCAGGTGTTATATGGTGTCGTGTGAGTGCCATGTGCAATGTGAAGCACATTGTGATGCAATGAGAAACGAGAACAGAGACCTTAAACAAATATGTTTGCAGGGCCTGAACAGCAGGCTGAGCACGGCTCTGTGCAACCGGCTGCTTTGGCCTTGCACTGGCTGTCACGAAATTGACACCGAGTCTGAGGGAAAGCTGCGGTGCTGGCGGTGCTGGCGGTGCTGGCATCTTGGCATACCCTGCTTGTGGCTTTGCACCAGGTGCCTGCTGAAATCACTTTATCTACCAACTCCTCACTTCCATGACACAGATTGAGCTGGCACCTCCTTGCTCAATACATCAAAGTGTGTGGCCATCAAAGCACTGAAGTCCTGACAAAGCACAGCTTGTCAAACACGAGTGCGAACATGTCTGCGATGTCTGAAGTGACGTCCTTGAGAAACTGTGTGACTTCAGCATTGTCTTGATACCTGAGACAGTGAGTTTGGTGAACATGGCCGGCCGAATGCATAAACGCACTTACTGTATATGTGCATGTCGTAGTGCATATATGCTCAAAACTGTATTCCGCCTGCGCTGTGCTTCGCCTGGAGCAGTTTGCATTAGCTTCATGGCCTCGGCATTTCATTCTAGGAGCTTTCCATGGTATTATATATTTTTCAATATTTTTCAATATATTACAAGCTGTGACAGGGAACAACTAGCTATGGTGTGTCTTTGTATGGCCCATAAAGCTCACAGGACAGTATCTTGACTGTTTTCCTCATGTCTGACTCAGCATTCAAGAAGCTATGCAATTGATGATATTGCTCTCGCAGAATACAAGCCCGCCTCCTGAATCTTGGGATCCGAGAGTGACTGCGAAAGCAAGACAACAAATGTGAGACAACTTACTGTACATCAGGGACCCATTTACGTCCAAAGTGGTGTTCGTTTGAATCATTTGCTCACGTCCTCGCCTTCAACAGATCTGGGCGCGACTGCAAAGCTGCCATCAGCTGAGGTGTCACCCAAGACTGCCCATGAGATCGGAACATGTCGCGAAAGGCATTCAACTATATAAATCCAAGCAATTCCATCAGCTCAAAGGAAATTAAGGACGGATCGAAGAACAGTGGCGCTATATATACAACCTTGATAACATGGCCTGATCCTCTTTAAGCTTTTCCATTCCTTGCATTGCTTGCTGAACCTAAGCTGAAGAATGGAGTGCTCAAACCTTAGAGATGAGGAATCGTCGACACACGCACCTCTGGCATCTGCAAGCTCATTCGCTTGGCCTCCTCCCCGAATGGAAGCAGATTCATGAAGAAGTATTAAGAATACACTTCCAAGCACATGCAATCAGGATCAGAGTTGTAAACTTGAACCCTGCAAACTTTGCCTCTTTGGAGCCAGCACCAGTGATGAAAGGAACCTTCCAAAACGATCGGTCTCACGACGAAATATGGCCCAATGCGATGGTCAAACAACAGGCCTCTTTTACCGGATCTTCTTTACTAACTTTTTCTTTCGTGCTCTTTGAGGCCTACCCCAAGCAAAGCAAGGCATTCAATGCAAACCAACTTCTGCTTGAACAAGATTCAAGAACTTCCGCCATTGATCAGTGCAACGCGTTTGTCGTTCGTTGCTTCGTGCAGGAAGTCTCCAGTTTGGCTGGCCTTGGGCTTGGAAGACAAAAAGCCCTTCTTTAGGCCTCCTCCGAATCCGTCAGCTTTTTTTTCTGGATTCTTCTGTGTCCCTTTTCTTCTGCTCCCGCGCTGCCAAAGCGCGCTGCATCATAGCTTCTGCCACTTCATTCTTTTCTTCTATGCTATCACAGTTTGTCTGTCTCTCGCCCTCATCCTTCGGTCTTTCTAGAACCTGCTTTTCTGCGACTCTTGCTGTTTCCTCCCTCTCTCTCACCTTTGTATCACACCTGCTGCGAGTTGCCTCCAGTGGCGGAACGTCATCATCATCGTCATCCATTGATCCAACTTTGACTGCAAGGCAGGCTGCCTGCAAAGTCCTTGTGTACTGTATGTCGTATTTTTTTCCTAATATCAGCATTTCTGCAACCATGACTTCTCGTGAAAGGAAAGCCCTCTGCCTGCGTCTGTGATTGCTCTGGATTGCTGAATGATTGTCTTAGCTCTCTCTTGCGGCCATATTTAGCCGCATTAGCCATACACTGTTCTTTAGATGAGCATACTGGCAAACAAGTATCATTGCACTTGATGGCGCTTAATGCTCTTGATGACAAGATTTGTCGGCAAAACAGGTGTGCTGATGCTGTTGTGCCCAAGGAAAAGAGCGCCTTTGAACCAATCACGCACTCGCGCTTTCTCTAAACAAGACGTGAAACAATTTGCCATGTGCATTGCAGTGCACGACACTACTCGCTCTGTGGCAAACTCGTTCGTTAACTTGGCTAGCTAAAGCCAATGGAATTTGGAATGTATCTTTGACATTCCGCAAACAATTTGTCTGCAAGCAGCCTTTTCGGGAGCTTATTAAAGGAAAACATTGACGTATTCTATATATAACCACTGCTTGCTCGACACAGCCTGACCTGCAGGCAGTCTCAGTGCCAAAAAAGTCCAGCCTTGCATCAGTGCAATATTTTTGCAAAACGGTCTACATACATGCCCTGAATGCCATTGTGTGATTTTTTCCCCTCAGGAACAATCAACACTCTTTAGCTGCCTGGTGCAGTTTGTCGTAGATTATGGGAAGCATCGCAACAGCATTCTGCTCCACCTGATGTCAAACGGGACGCCGAAGCTTTTCGGTCCCAAGCCAATTACATGAATGGAGAGGAACTTGGCGCGATGACAAATGCAACTGCTGTTGGGAGCAATTGGCATACCGCTCATTCTGATCGCCCAAGGCGACGCGAAACCTCCTGTTCACTCTGTGCTTAGCTGAACTAGCCTTTGTGACTTCTCCGAACGTTCAGACTAAGCATGAAACTTCTGCAGTAATCTCGGCAGCTGCTGATGCATCGTCCAGCTCCAAATGCAACCGCTGCCGTACCTAGGGCTATACAGATGTCCCAGGATCCGTGGCCTGCGGCTCTGATTATCATTGCCTCGCACCGAAACAACTGGGCTGCTAGCCGTGTGGATGGCCCGGTCTGCATGGTCGCGAAGTGGGGTTACACCATTCCTGCAATTCAGGGTTGATGCAAAAATGGAAAGTGCCTAGCAGTTGAGCAGCCTTTCACAACAACAAATAGTTTGATATGCAGGGCTAACCCTCCAGCGCTTGAAGCCAATGACAATAGTGCAGTCCACAAACGTGCGGTCCGCCGGACCAGCACAAACGCCTGGGATGCAACTTGCTTATAACTGCAACCTGAACTGAAATCCCTTCGCAATAATGATAAAGTAATATGCCTCAAGTGAAAGAACAATCTGAGATGGAATGATGGGGGGGCAACCGTATTGTGATGCAATGAGGTCGTGCCAACCCATCAACATGGGCAGCCCAGTCGTGTGAACCATCATTCCTGCAAATACGTGAAACAGTTTCGAGCCAAGCCATGCAAACACCCAACCAAAAAAAACATTGTTGCCACCATTGCTGGGTGCTGGCACAATATAGTAAAGTGCATGTATATTTGCATATTATATATATTTATTTACACACATTACAAGTATACAAGCGTATACACATATATATAGAGAGGTAATACGGCAACTATGGTTTCATAATATTGTTAGACACACACACACACTTGGAAGAGAGCTCGCATGAACACAATCCGATGTTCATCCGTTCTACATTGGCCCACTTTCAATGCATGACCAGTCTAGTGCAGAGACGACCTGCAACTGAAAAACAGACCTTATAAAGGGCTGAGAACAACATGTAACTGCTTCTGCATCACACCTCAGTGGAAAGGTGCAGGTACACCAGGATGGCCAATCCTGGTTTCCCGTGTTCAGACTAGGTTCGTTGGGCGTAGTCATCTGAAAACGCTACGCCCTTGTGCTGCACCAACGGCCTAAAGTCTCTTGTGTGAAAGCCCCTGGAAACATGGTTGGACACCCACACACACACACTTAGAGAGAGGGCTCAGGAGAGCATAGCATCAGTTAACAACTCACCGATCTAGTTATTCCATTACCGGTCTCCTGAAATTAGCACTTTACAATACCGCAAATTAGACCTTGAGCCATTTGTATACAGGCAGGGGATTGGGGTAACAGCTTGAGCAACAGTTCCAATCAAAGCACAGGCAAGTGTCATTGGACAGAGTAGCATCAGAGAGCTCTGTCCCCCTGATAATCCTGCATTAATGAAAGGTACTCGGGAGAACTAGAGTGATGCTGTATATCCTTTGGAACAGCGAGTGACACACACACACTCTGACATTGGTTTGCTGTTAACTCAATTCCCACGTCGAGAAGGAAGGTGAGAGAACGGCAAGGTGGAGAGTCCGCAAATTTGTAGGTGTTTGAACAAAAGAGTTTCTCACTTGACTGCGGTGACATGCTGCAAAACCCGCGGCGGCTGCAAGTGGAAAAAA